GTCACCTGCCTGCCCCTCAGTTTTGTTTCCTCACTCACCTCTCTGTTGGCATATTTTTCAGTATGTCTCACGGTTATACTCTACAAGGAATTATTTGTACTGGTATCAATTTATATTCAGATACTTACACTACTTAAATTTAAATTTTTATAATTTGCATTAATTGGGTTTTGTTTTTTCTGCCTGGAGTGCAGCTTTGCATTTACAGAAGAATTCTGTGCAAAATGTTTATTTTTCCCATACAGTGCACTGCATGGGTTAACTGCTCGTTTTGTCCAGGGGCACAAGGAAAGGCTATACTTGGCTGATCCTTCAATCCTCAGAAAACTGCGCCCCCTACGTTCAGTGGTGAACGGTTCCTATCGTCCTCACGTCCAGAACCAGTCTATAGGCATGATGACGTTAGGAACAGTCCATTCACAAAACCGCTAGCATGTGGGGAAGCAGGAACAACAGGGATCAGTATTGCACTTGGATGATTGGCAGACAAGGTAAGTATATCTCTGTTCTGCAATCTCCAAAGCAAAAACGAGCAGTTAACCCATGCAGTGCAAGCACAGCCCCACTGCATGGGAAAGTAAAAAACACATTTGTTGAAATTAATTTTAAATAAAGCTGGTTATAAATGCCCTAGTAATGTCTTGACATTTGCTTCAGTTAATGTTCGGTATAGTTAGACTAGAAGAGGAAGGGGAAAGCTTTGCGAGCCAAGCAGGCTCTATTGCATTGTCCAGTGTTGTCAGTTGGAGCTTACCAACAGAGCAGTGATGACTTCATCCTTTAGTTTTTGCGCCTTCAACAATAAGCAGACTGGGGATATATCCCTCAGTAAGTTATAAAATTTAACTATATTTAAAGAGTAACTCCACTTTTTTTGAGGAAAAAAAAAACCCCAAATGCCTCTTGATAATCTATGTACATTGCAGGAATTTGAACAAACTTTGTTGCAGATTCTAACCTTTGTCTATTCTTAGGGAATAGCTGTTTGATTGTTTGTGTTCATGTGCAAAGTGAATGACAGTATATTTATATTCATCAATCAGCTGCTGCACCTCCAGGGCTCTAATAAGGAAATTGGCAGGGTCTGTATCTTAGTGCAGACTTCTGGGAAAATCAGTAAGCCGATCACACAAGCATGAAATTACATTTCTGGGTGTGTTCTGCAAATCTTCTGGGTACAGAATGCCTCTAGGTAGCAATATTTAATTGCATTTTACAGAAAATTACAGCACTGCAGATAATAACTGTATATTACAATATGACTTTTGCAGCAATTGTATACTGTGTTATTTTATTTGCTATTTTTTCACACAAAAGTGTAGTTACCCATTAAATCAAGATAAAGAACTGAGCATTACAACTCTATTGGGAGATAAAACAATTCATTAAACATTGGGAAGTGAGAGGAATATCCCCAATGTTCTCAAATCTCAAAACTTTACCCAAGGATAAAGATCTTTATTTTCAGCCATGTGACTTTAATTCACAAATCTCTTTGATAGCAGATGAAAAATAACTTATCTTTATCTTCAACATCACTAAAAAAGTACTTGTATTGCTGTTTGTGTCTCCATTAGAGTGATTACACCCTTCCTGTCCCAATGACTAAACAAGCAGTAAGAAAAACTCTCCCCCAGCAATGAAAAAGACCACTAAAAATCTGAAACAAGATCTAACTTGTCCATACTCTGTTAAAAAAACAAATTGAGTTTTGGCTGTATCTTTAATTTAAAGTGGTTGTAAAGGCTGAAGGTTTTTTACCTTCATGCAATCTATGCATAAAAAGGTAAAAAAATCTTCTCTGTACAGCATCAACTATCCCGGGACTCCCTCTCCTCATTGGCTGAGACAGCAGCGGAAACCACTGGCTCCTGCTGCTGTCACTCACAGCCAGTGAACAAACGAGAAGAGAGAGGGGGCATGGCCGAGCCGTAGCTCTTTGTGAATGGATACACAGAGCTGTGGCTCAGGAGCGAGTGCCCTCATAGCAAGCTGCAACAGGAGGGAAGGGTCAGGAGCACTGGTGAGGGACCCGTGAAGAGGGGGCACCTCCACAGGATGGAGGGGTCAGGAGCACTGGTGAGGGACCCGAGAAGAGGAGGATGGGGGCTGCTCTGTGCAAAACCACTGCACAGAGCAGGTAAGTATGACATGTTTGTAATTAAAAAAAAAATGCCTTTAGTATCAATTTAAGGTTTAGCATTGCTGTTTTATGTTACAGCACTTGTCTTGTTCCCATCCAGGACATTATAGTTTAGGCTCCTTGGGGCAGGGACTGATGTGATTGTATAATAACCTGAGCTGTGTAAATGGTCAGCACTATATAAACACCTGTAATAAACATAACAAATTAATACCTATCATAATTAAAAAGGAGCAGCATTTTAAGGGTAATCAAGGATCTTTTGATTTGTACAGGGAACATGTGAATATGCTTACAAAAGGGAAATACTCAGGGATGACCACAACAATACGATTATCCTTCACTCTCTGGTCACATACTGGGATGGATTCTGGACCAAAAGTGTTGCCTAAAATATTACTAAACCTAAAAACATTCTTTTACTCTAAAGCATTGCTTGCATTAAGGTAAAAAAATGTTTTTAGGTTCCCTGTACTCCCCCTTCCCTGTGTGAAGGGGAAAAGAGGGGAGAAGAGGTCAGCACTGTGCACAGCTGCATCTCTTCTCCCCTTGCTTCCCCTTCACACAGGGACTCGAACAGCAGCAGGAGCCATTGGTTCTTGCTGCTGTCAATAAAGTGCAGTGAAGAGGAACTGGGGGAGGGGCTAGTCCCTACTGTTTGTGTCTATGGAGCACGGCTCCATAGTCACACAGGTCGGGAACAAGCACGCAGCATATGTCCCCATAGCAAACGGCTTGCTATGGGGACACACAAAGAAGAGGAGGAGACAGGATCGCCAGTGGGGGACCCAAGAAGAAGAGGATCGAGGCTGGTCTGTGCAATACCACTGCACAGAGCAGGTGAGTATAACATGTTTGTTATTTTAATTGCAAAAAAAAACCTGCCTTTAGTAACACTTTAACTGCATTGCAGATTCAAGAGAGGCCAGAAGCTGGCCAGCATGATGCCTGAATCCCACAACTGGCTAATCAGATTACACATATATACATACATGCATACAGTATTTCAACTGTGTATTTAGTGGTTTGCCTGGAGTTCAGATTTAAGGATGCTAAAAAAAAAAAAAAAAAAAAAAAAAAATCTATATTCAATCTGCATTTTGACTTAAGCTCTGATCATTTTCAGCATGTGTACACTGAGGATAATAGTATACCAGTTCATTATAAAAAGAAAGACCAACAGTCTCAGTTAAACCGAATTCTAAGCCCCTACGTCTGAAGCAACATATAAGGGCAATCTCAAAGAGAGTACAAAAAATAATTATCACTCATGCATGAACAACACATTTACAATACAATTAAATGAAGCAGGATACTCTATTACAGAGGCAAAGCCAAGAGGAGTACAAATCCTCTTATCGTATACAGAAAAAAGAAAAACTCAATTAATGTACCTCTATCCTCAAGAGGGTTGCTTGCAAGGTTTATAGTATGAAGTCCTGAGTTTGGATTGTTTGCAAGGGCACTGGACAGCTTCTGTGCAAAATCTCTGTGTAGAAATAAAACAGGTCAAAAAGTATGAAAAAGATCTGCATAATCATAACTGTTGGGGGGGGGGGGGGGGGGCATCTGTCATGCCCAGGACACAACATTCTGGTGGCTAGATGAAATATACTTTTATAAAGTGGCACAGTGGCTAAGTGGTTAGCACTTACACCTGGCGGCACTAGGGTTTATCGGTTTGAATCCCAACCACAACCCTACCAGTTTGCATGTTCTCCCTGTGTCTGTGTGGGTTTCCTCCAGTTACTCTGGTTTCCTCCCACACTTCAAAGACATGCTGGTAGATAATTAGATCTTGTCTAAATTGGCCTAGTACATGTATAAATGTGAGATAGGGACCTTAGATTATAAGTTCCCTGAGGGCAGGGACTGATGTGAATGTACACTATATATGTAAAGCGCTGCGTAAATTGACGGCGCTATGCAAGAACCTGTAATAAAATACAAAATATTCATTTGTGACATGCTCTGGAAAAAAAACATAATATTGGGACTTTTAAAACCGTAAACTCAGTGTACATTTAAAAAAAAATAATTTATGCAGTAATCTTGTATTTGAGCAGTATGCATTTTATGTAATTATTTTTTAGTATATGCAGTAATCTACAGTTTTGTGCAGTACATGTGAGCTTTTATGTAATTTGTTTACTTTTTAAAACTTTAGAATATGCAGTAATGTACTATTTTAGGCAGTACATATAACCTTTTATACATGTAACTTGTTTGTTCATTCCTTATGAAAAGTAATAAGTGATTTTCCATGACGCAGAGGAATAACAGTGTATTATTCACATACACTATATTGCCAAAAGTATTGGGATGCAGGCCTTTACACGCACATGAACTTTAATGGCATCCCAGTCTTAGTCCGTAGGGTTCAATATTGAGTTGGCCCACCCTTTGCAGCTATAACAGCTTCAACTCTTCTGGGGAGGCTGTCCACAAGGTTTAGGGGTGTTTCTATGGAATATTTGACCATTCTTCCAGAAGCGCATTTGTGCGGTCAGGCAATGATGTCGGATGAGAAGGCCTGACTTGCAGTCTCTGCTCTACTTCATCCCAAAGGTATTCTGTCAGGTTGAGGTCATGACTCTGTGTAGGCCAGTCAAGTTCCTCCACCCCAAACTCACTCATCCATGTCTTTATGGACCTTGCTTTGTGCACTGGTGTGCAGTCATGTTGGAACAGGAAGGGACCATCCCCAAACTGTTCCCACAAAGGTGGGAGCATGAAATTGGCCAAAATGTCTTGGTATGTGGACTCCTTAAGAGTTCCTTCACTGGAACGAAGGGGCCAAGCCCAACCACTGAAAAACAACTTCACATCATACCCCCCCCCCCTCCACCAAACTTCTTTCGCACAATGCAGTCAGGCAAGTACTGCTCTCCTGGCAACCGCCAAATCCAGACACATCCATCACAGCCAGATAGAGAAACGTGATTCGTCACTCCAGAGAAGATGTCTCCACTGCTAAAGAGTCCAGTGGCGGCGTGCTTTACACCACTGCATCCGACGCTTTGCATTGCACTTGGAGATATAAGGCTTGGATGCAGCTGCTCTGCCACAGAAACCCATTTCTACGCACTGTTGTTGTGCTAATCTGAAGGCCACACGAAGTTTGGACATCTTTAGCTATTGACTCTGCATACAGATGGCGACTTCTGCTCACTGTGCGCTTTAGCATGCACTGAAGCGCTCTGTCATTTTACGTGGCCTACCACTTAGTGGCTGAGTTGCTGTTCCCAGTTGCTTCCACTTTGTTATATGCCACTAACCGTTAACCGAGGAATATTTTGTAGCAAGGAAATTTCATGCATGGATTTATTGCACAGGTGGCAACCTATCACAGTACCACACTTGAATTCACTGAGCTCCTGAGAGCGACCCATTCTTTCACAGATGTTTGTAGAAAAGTCAGCATGCCTAGGTGCTTGATTTTATACACCTGTGGCCATGGAGGTGATTGGAACACCGGAATCCAATGATTTGGAGGGGTGTCCCAATACTTTTGGTAATATAGTGTATTTTAAGTGTGTTTACCATTCATTACAATAGACCTGTTTAATGTGCATAAAAAGACAAAGATGCAACATATTAATAAAACGTATTAGGTTTCAGCGCATAACTGTAAACTAACCACAGAAATGAATGGGACTTCTAGTTGAGAAATACATTTTCATGCAGTAAAATCTGTAAACTTGGCCTTAAAGGGACCTTGTCACTAGTCAGCGCAAAGTGCTGATGCAGTTGTAATCCCCATCCCAACTACTTTATACTTACCTCCTCCATTTCTCTCTTCATGTCCTTGACTTATGTCAGCAACTGCACCACATTTAAAAATGCAAAGATATGAATGTAAACTAATGCTGCCTAGGACACAGAGACTGGAATGAGGCTATGCTCTGGACAATGACTACATCTTTGGTAAATGCACCCAGGATAAAAGCAAAAACGTGAAGAGTCCCTATATTGAAAGCTGCTTTCTTTCTTGGCATAGGTGCATTTTAGGAGTCTACATTTAAATGTTATAGGCTGTAAATAAATAATCTTCACAAACTGTGTCGATGTATCATAATATTTCTAATCGCTGTATTTAAAAATCTGTACACTGGGCAGCAAAATTTACTCATCACACACAAACTGTCCAGAAAAGACACCAAACTCACTGCCTGATTAACACATGTGGCCCTTATGGAAATATGAAACATAATGTGGATCCTACCAAAATCACTTTTAGATAAACCTAAGAAGAATAGCTCAATGTAATTGTTACGCTCCATGTTTGTAAAAGGCAATGTGAATTCAGAGTTATTTGGTCAACGAGATCTGACTTGGCCACTTATTTGTTTTATGGTCACATCATTAGTAACAATTTCAAAAGGTTCTTTAACAAATTAAAGAGGCTTTAAACACACTTACAATCGGAGTCCAGCGTTTTCTAAAACCAGCTCTTCTAACCGACTCGACCTGTTCACTACACGCAGAATCTGATCACAAACGTCATTAGACTGAAAAGTAAGGTGAAACAAGGCAGATCAGCACACAAACACACTGGATATATGATACGGTATGTATGAAACATTGATGGAAGATATCTTTAGAGCAGGGGTCTCCAAACTTAAAGGGCTGGTTTACTGTCCTTTAGACTTTAGGAGGGCCAGAGTGGCAAGTGGGAGTAGAAAATGTTGCAGTGTCAGTAGGAGTTAAAAAAAATGACATAGTGCTTGTAGTCAGTGGAAGGGGAAATAGTGTCCAGTCCCTGGTATTAGTTGGAGGAACAGTGCCCCATCACTGGTGTCAGTGGGAGGAATAGTGCCCCATTGTTGGTGTCACTGGGAGGAATAGTGCCCCATCGTTGGTGTCACTGGAGGAATAGTGCCCCATCATTCGTGTCAGTGGGATGAATAGTGCCCATCGTTGGTGACAGTGGGAGGAATAGTGCTCCATCGTTGGTGACAGTGGGAGGAATAGTGCTCCATCATTGGTGACAGTGGGAGGAATAGTGCTCCATCATTGGTGTCAGGGGGAGGAATAGTGCCCCATCATTGATGACAGTAGGAGGAATAGTGCCCCATCATTGGTATTAGTGGGAGGAATAGTGCCCCATCATTGGTGTCAGGGGGAGGAATAGTGCCCCATCACTGGTGTCAGGGGGAGGAATAGTGCCCCATCACTGGTGTCAGGGGGAGGAATAGTGCCCCATCACTGGTGTCAGGGGGAGGAATAGTGCCCCATCACTGGTGTCAGGGGGAGGAACAGTGCCCCATCACTGGTGTCAGGGGGAGGAATAGTGCCCAATCACTGGTGTCAGGGGGAGGAATCGTGCCCCATCCTTGGTATTATCGGAGGAATAGTGCCCCATCCTTTTAGTTGGAGGAATAGTACCTACAGTAATTGTTTATATCAGTGGGAGGAATTGTGCCCTATCATTGATGTCAGTGGAAGAAAAAAATGTCCAATAGTTTGTGCCAGTGAAAGAAACAGTGCCTCTTTGTTGGTATCAGTGGGAGGAATAGTACCCCGAGGGCCGGATAGAGACAAGCAAAGGGCCACAGTTTGGAGACCACTACTTTAGAGCATGAAAATGTTTTTTTTTTACCAGTTTTAGATCTTTCGATGATAGCTTTGTAAACCATTGATTGTACTCTAAAGCTGCGACAATAGGTATCAAATCTCTGTAAAGGAACATACAAAAAAATTGGGTACAATACTGTAGTAAACTGCTAAAGGAGAAGAATACAATAATAAACTATACATATTTATAGAACAGCTGCAAGCGGATGAAACATTTGCAATTTTATGAAAAGTTGTTTCAAGATATTCAGAAAGGTAAAAAACAACCATACTTCTCTTTTTTTGTGTAAACCTCTCTTAAAAGGAATAATCTACTTTCCTATAGGAGTATAAATCACTCTACCAACCTAGCATTTACTAAAGAGATGTAAAATGTCAACCATATGTCAAATAAAAAAACATAATTATCACTATCTGTGTGCAACAATGCCACTTGATTTATAAAATATGTTCATTGCCTGTATGATATCAAGGTCTGAATATTTTCTTGAAAAGTTAGTAACCAATTCATGAGAATTTGTTTACTCTAAAAAGGAAGACTTTGTTCACATGGAACATTTTAACCACTTCAATACTGGGCCCTTTCATCTCCTTCCTGCCCAGGTAAATTTTCAGCTTTTAGCGCTGTCGCATTTTGAAGGACAATTGCACGGTTATGAAACACTGTACCCAAATGAAATTTTTATAATTTTTTTGAGACAGATAGAGCTTTCTTTTGGTGGTATTTAATCACCACTGGTTTTTTTTATTTTATGCTAAACAAATGAAGAGAAAGACCAAAAAAAAAAAAGTTTTTTCAAGTTTCTGTCAAAAAGTTTTGAAAATAAGTAATTTTTCTTCTTCATCGATTTGCTCTTTTGAGGCTGCACTGATAAGTTGCACTGATGTTGCACTGATGGGCATTATTAAGCTGCACTGATAATCAGTTTTTGTCCGTTACGTTTTTTTAACGGAAAAAAAATGGAGCTTTGATCCTTTTTTTAAAAAAAAGTATGTTGGCAGATGCGGATATAAACTGATGTAAACGTATGATCATCCATTATTCTATAAAGATGCATTGATGTCCATTTTTCATCCATCAATGGATGGATGAAAAACGAACAAACTAAAAACGCCCTTGGGAAGGAAGCCTACCTCTAGTGAAAGGAAGATTTCATTTTTCAAAGTAAAAATATGAAACTTTACAGCACTAATCCTTGTAAGAATGCCAAATAAGCACTGAACAGCTTAATAAATTACTGTGCTTATTGCCGGACAGATTCTTAAATTGAGCAGAAAACCCTTGCAAGGTATTAGCATCACTTGTATTTATTACACAAAAAGTTATATTTTATTTACAGAAGTTTTTTTGGCATTATAAAGTTTGTAACATTAAGGAATAACCACAGACAGAAATGTTTCTTGGTTCTCATAGAAAAGGCACAGCTTGTATCAACTAATACAGTTTTAAAATAGTGATTCCTACAGTTGAAGGCCTTGTGGAAATGTTAACATTACACAGCAATTCAAACAGCATCTTGCTGTCTATCACACACCTTCCCTTTTCACCTACCAGTGATCTATACCCAGATTATTGTGAGAGATAGTTTAGATGTGCAGGATCTACATTAAATGTTAAGTTGTCACACTCTGGAGTCAGTTACATAGTGAATCTAAATAGATATGGTAGCCAGCAGAAATCACAACACTGAGTGAATTCTACAAGGTGGTATCAAAAAGTTGCAAGACTAGTTTTGTAGCACGCCAACAGATGACAGCACAAGGCTGTACGCACAGTCACAGGGAGCACCAACCTTCATAAGCAAGTGTGCCAAAAGACATCGTCCTGTGTACATCAGGAGTTGTGCAACTGGTGCTATTCTACACATCTGCTATTTCATCATGGACAGCAAGTTAGAACAAAGAGCAAAGGTGAAATTCTGAATGAAACTGAGTAAATCTGCCACAGAGATGTTTGACATGATTCAACAAGTTTACGGCGATGGTGCAAATGAATTGTTCTAGATGTTTTGAGTGGCAGGCATGCTTCAAGAGCAGAAGAACATCACTGGAAGAGGACAAGAGATCAGGCAGACCTTCTATGAGCTCAACCCCCGTAAATGCCCTCTTCCTAAAGATGACGATTCAGCTCAAAGGTTGCCGTTTCGACAACATTGTGGATTCAGAGATTTGCCTAGTTTCACACAGAATTTCATGTTTGCACTTTGTTCTAACTAGTCTCGAAACTTTTTGATACCACCTTGTATTTTTATTTTTTGTCTTAATTTAAATACTGCATTAGAAAGTTTAAGGGTCACTCTGAGCAATTTAACTTGTAATAACATGAAAACCCCTTGTAACATATTTAATAACAGCTATGGAAATAAACTGCATTGTACTGAATGGAAGTGGAAGTTGCAACATCAGCTGTTCATAAATGCAAGATTAGCTATGTTTTGAAGCATGGGCTAAACAAGCTAAACACACCTAATAAAGATTGTTACACAAGTATTTCATTTTATTGCCACTACAGCTTTTCATCTCCTGATTATTGCCTAGCAAAGTGATGTGGATGAACTTTGACCTTGCCAATATGAAATGTAAATGTGTTCCTTTCATTAGTAAATATATGTCTTTTTAAATATCCCATCCTGATCAGAGTATGCTTCAGGGAGTGTTATTCTTTTTGAATCCAGTTAGCTTGATATACTATCAAGACATATAATTAGGATGTCATACAAGCTAATTAGTATAAATTGCTTTGGTATTTGTGCTACCAAGGTCTATGACAGGTTTACATAAACAAGGTATTTCTCCTGACTTTGAATGCAATGTTGTAATAATAATGTTGGCAATATAAATTTGATTTTATCGATCCCCTCACAGGTGTTCACACTTACATGTCCATCAAAATGATATCTCACTAAAATGATATTGGATGT